CAACTGTGTTAAATCATTTTCATTTATTCAGAAGACACAGCGCTGTGCAACGGTTCTTGCATGAGACCCATTGGGTGTTCCTACATGAGTCTAACGAAGGAAAGTTTTAAAGCAGCTCCATCCTACCAGAATGTGTTCAGCCTCCTTCAGCTGTTTCTGCAGCTGCTGGATGTCACTGTCTCTCTTCTCCACCTCCTTCTCCAGCTGCTGCATCTCCTGGTGCACCTTGCCCTGCTGCTGGGCCACCCCCATCAGCTCCTGGAACTCTCTGTCCCTCTGCACGAGCAGCTCCAGGATCTGAGGAGTCCAAAATAAGTAATAGTAATAGGAAAGCAATCTTCAGATGTTATGTCTAAAGGTATACAAAGATGTTACCTGTGTGTCCTCTCCAGGCTGAGGTAGTTTCTGAGCTCTGGACAGAGACAACATCTCTATCAGCTCCCTGAAATTAGAAACACATAAAAAAATAAAATAAAACGTTAAAGAACAAGAGCTGCTAGATATGTGGGGCTCATAGTTTATTCATAGTAAAGCAGAGAGCTTTTAAACAACCAAGCACTGAGGTTTTTACGTTTCTCTCATTTTCACTCGGCTGCTTCTGACCAGCTGAGTAAATAAATAAAATAAAAAAAACAAAAACAAACAATAATAATGTATCAGCGCGACACAAAACAATTAAACTTGTCCAACTTTACCGGGATAAAACCTCCAGATCATCCAAAACAGACAGCAAACGCTCTTTCGTTGGTTTTTCTGCCACTGCCGCCATGTTTTCGGTTCTCAATGTCAGACCGGATGTGACGTCACCACCTATCGCTTCTTATTCCAGTTGCTGAGAGGACGCCATCTGCTGGTGAGAAATATGTATTTCTTTAGGAAATGTTCTGTCTTTTATCAAATGTGCTGAAAAAAGAAAACAAATTTCGTTATAATTATTTATTATAATGATGGACTTGCGGCCTGTCCAGAGTGTGGCCCGCCCCTCGCACTGTGACTGCTGTACATGGGCACCAGTGACCCACACGACCCTGAAAGGAATAAGCGTGTACAGAAAATGGATGGATGGATGGAATAATAATAATCTCTCTTTAAAACTGACTAAATTAAATTTATTAGAAGACAGCATGCTCTGTATCCAGGATGAGTTTCTGATTGTGATGATGATATTTTTTGTGGGGCTTGTGACCATCCTGTTATGTGTTTTTTAATGTGTGGAGTGTCGTATAAGCCCACGAGGCCTGGGCACCAGAAGGTGCATGACACTTAAATAAATAAAATCTATCAATTAACCAAAAAAAAAAATCATATATATGACAAAACTCACTCAGTTGATAATGGGTTATTATAACATTGAAAGGTTTTTCTTATAAAATTTATTTTTAAATGACGTCTGTGAAAATCAGCTGGATTAAAAGTTCAAATAAACCTCAACATCAAAATACAAAAAAACTAAATATTTCAACCTTTAAGATAGATATAAAATTAATTTATATAACAGAAAAGTACGCTGAAGCTCATTTCAAAGTGCAGTATTTAATAAGTTCTTGTTTTTCTTAAATTTTTTTTCAAGATTTCATTTTTTATTTATGTTTCTGCATTTTTGTGTGTCTTCGTACAAGTTTAAGATTTTGTAATTCCATATGTGTAGAGTTTTTTGATACTGGGCAGCTCGGAGAAGCAGCCAGATCGCCTGCTAGATTTCAAAATAAAAGCACAAATGAGGTTACAGTCGTTATCTGGTGCAGAATGGGAAAAACAACATATGTGGAGAATTAAAAGTGACAAAATTAAATAAATAAATATTTGATGATTTATAATTTTGCGTAGTTTAGTATTAGTTAGCTGTGGTGGCCATCTTGAACTGAGTTGACAGTTTTACCACAACACTCTCATTGGGCCTCATGCAAGAACATGTTCGTATTTTTATCCTAAATTTCTCTTACTTTTGTTCGTACAAAGGGTTCGTACGAACATGTC